GGGGAAGCTTGGAAGGGGCTGTACAATTTTCATGGATATTCTGCAACCCAAGACTCGGAGACAGGTTATAGTGGCGCTTATAGCAAAGCAAAGAAACTTCGTTTCAAAAGATTTCAGATCCCTTAGCCTATCCTCGTTTCTGCTGGAAACTTTAGAGAGCCTCATGGACTTGTATATTATGAGTAGAATACCGGGCAAAGCTACAGCAAAGAAAGGTTGTTGTCGCATTTGCAGTGATGATAACTTACAAGCCATTGTTGAGAGACCATTACATCCTCAAAAAGTGACTGTTTGTTGTGCTTTGTGGGCGGAAGGAACCTTTGGTCTATATTTCTTCAGATGATTGACGCCTTGATAGAGAATATGCGGCGGATTATTGCTGACACACGGTCCCAGCTGCTGCAAAAAGTGGTCGAAATCTATTCTCTACAATTTTTATTTATTATCGCTATCTGCGACGGTCACTTGTCCGAAATCATTTTCTAAACTTAATGGGCATTATCTCCTTTTGAAAACTATAAGACTAAAAAAACATTTCTTGACTAGAAAGCACTAATAGTATTGTTCGTCATATTAAAGAAACATGTATTGTTCGTCAAATGTTAATAGCTTGTGTATTATATAACAATACAATATAATTGATAAGGCATATTTTGGATACAATTTTGGATCCTAAGCTCGGGAAAATATTCTATGTATTTTGAAAGGCTTAGAAGATTTGATTGTTTGTTTGTTCGAATTGAATACGATGCGAAATTCCTTGCCGAATTTTGTGATTTCGTAAGAATGAGACACCTAAAAAAAGAAAAGTTGTTCACATTGAGTTCTACACAATCTGTTGGTCGCTCAAAAAAGGGTTCACGTCGTTTAGTCGAGAGAAATGTCAACAAAATACGATAGCGATACTTGGAAACACGTTTATGACATTGTGACAGGTGATGAATCATGGACTCATGTATATGAGCGCACATCGCCTCCCCATGGAGATACATGCCTCGTTCAGAGGAGCAAAAGTGCTTCGACTATTGATGCAAATGCAAGTAAAAGTTTATAGATGTTAATAGAGAATATTTTGAAAGGCAATAAAGCGATTTGGATGATTAAAATTAGTTTTTTTTTTAATTATTTTACTCCTTTTTAAATAATATAAAAAGGAGCTCTCAAATTAAAAAGGTATGCAAGTTCTTATAGTCGGAAAAGCATTCATAAGAAATACTTTGAATTCATTTTTTGGTCTTAAGCTAGGGAAAAAAGTTACCATGTTTCAAAAGTTTTGCCAAGTGGTTATTTTTTAATAAATGAGGCATTCAAATAAAACAATTCATTCTTAGAATTTTTTAGGGAGTTGCCAACTGTTGTAAAATTTTAAACTAATAAAATTGTATAGAATTGTGGAATATTTTCAGCTTAACTAATGCCTATATATTATGTAAAACATTGAGATTAACGAATGCAATCACAACACGACGATTTTCTGCTCGACTGGCGCTCCTGTTGCAGTGGAGAAAAGCAATGTCACAATCGACCACAACACCAGCAGAGTGGGACAGACACCGGAAGTGGAAGAGGGAAGAGAGACACAAATGCAGGCTAAACAAGTAAGGAAGGGATAAGTTCGGGTGTCACCGAACATTTTATCCTCTCGCATGATAAAGTGATAATCGAGATTTCAGGCGTGGTTGTGAACCGATTTCACCCATATTTCGTACATGTCATCAGGGTGT